GGGATTTAAGAATCGATATCGTTCCGTAAAAATGAGAATCGATTAATATCGAGATATCAATATTTTTTACCCAGCCCTAATAATTACTGTACTTGCATTATTGTAAGGGGTAGGTGTAGACATTGTTAAAACACAATCTAATAGGTAGAAAATGTCATTTATTGTTGGTTTATCCCTTCTAGCAAAGTTTTGTTGTTCTGTTTTGTTGTCTGTACTCATAAGTACAGACAAATAATGTCTTTTAAAAAGCAGAGACTTAAACACTTCTTAACACTATTGACAATGTCAAGAAAGATTCATTCAGGTTTGAATTAGTTCTGGATGAAATGTGTTCTTAACAACCCTCCTCATGAGAACTATTCGGTTAACAGTCTGGAAGAGACTTCAGCTCTGTTATGGATTTAAAGCAATACTGAATTACTTTCCATCATCAAGAAACATCAATCTTGTTTCAAAAGCCAAACAATGACTCAAAGTAAAAAAAAAAAATTAAAACTCTTGTTTTCTCAATCTCAAATAAAAGCACTAATGAATGCTTATACAAAAAGTCCAAAATATAGCATGTTGACTTACTAACTTTGGAGAAAACATGCATTTTTACTATGCTGCATTATATTTTTGTGTTGGGGGCTATTACTGTTTACTGGATGTAAAAATGTGACATTGCTGAGCACTGCCACAGCAAAAAATCCTATTCCCCAAAGATTAAAGCTGCCTGAGGAATTCTGCGTAATTACAGAAACTGCTGCAGGGCTTTTACTCTTATCATCTTTTATCATGGACTCTGTCATCATTTCAAGCATTATAGATTCACATTCTTCTACTGGCTTCATGGTTTATCACATCAGTTTGGGAAGAAGACCCAACATATAGTTTGCCACATAATTTAAATAAAAGACTTGTTATTGAAAACACACACCAGAAAGCTTAATGGCAAGTGCATAATTAATGTCTCACTACAGTATTTTGAATTCCATAATTTTCTAGCTGACAGCGATCTGTCACTCCACATTAAACAGCGCCAAAACGGCATTTATTGTTTGAATACTGCAATACAATGGACAGAATTTGAAATCTGATACTTTGTTTAATTTTAAAAGTACCAAAGCACAATGCTTAATGCGATATATTGGACGGGAAGTGCCCTTCAACGTTCCGTCCATTAACTGAAAACAGGCTAGACTAATCGATTCTTGGGATTTAAGAATCGATATCGTTCCGTAAAAATGAGAATCGATTAATATCGAGATATCAATATTTTTTACCCAGCCCTAATAATTACTGTACTTGCATTATTGTAAGGGGTAGGTGTAGACATTGTTAAAACACAATCTAATAGGTAGAAAATGTCATTTATTGTTGGTTTATCCCTTCTAGCAAAGTTTTGTTGTTCTGTTTTGTTGTCTGTACTCATAAGTACAGACAAATAATGTCTTTTAAAAAGCAGAGACTTAAACACTTCTTAACACTATTGACAATGTCAAGAAAGATTAATTCAGGTTTGAATTAGTTCTGGATGAAATGTGTTCTTAACAACCCTCCTCATGAGAACTATTCGGTTAACAGTCTGGAAGAGACTTCAGCTCTGTTATGGATTTAAAGCAATACTGAATTACTTTCCATCATCAAGAAACATCAATCTTGTTTCAAAAGCCAAACAATGACTCAAAGTAAAAAAAAAAAATTAAAACTCTTGTTTTCTCAATCTCAAATAAAAGCACTAATGAATGCTTATACAAAAAGTCCAAAATATAGCATGTTGACTTACTAACTTTGGAGAAAACATGCATTTTTACTATGCTGCATTATATTTTTGTGTTGGGGGCTATTACTGTTTACTGGATGTAAAAATGTGACATTGCTGAGCACTGCCACAGCAAAAAATCCTATTCCCCAAAGATTAAAGCTGCCTGAGGAATTCTGCGTAATTACAGAAACTGCTGCAGGGCTTTTACTCTTATCATCTTTTATCATGGACTCTGTCATCATTTCAAGCATTATAGATTCACATTCTTCTACTGGCTTCATGGTTTATCACATCAGTTTGGGAAGAAGACCCAACATATAGTTTGCCACATAATTTAAATAAAAGACTTGTTATTGAAAACACACACCAGAAAGCTTAATGGCAAGTGCATAATTAATGTCTCACTACAGTATTTTGAATTCCATACATTTGTTTCGTAGCGTTTGGAACAATTGTTTACAGACTCATGTGGTCTGAGTTCTGATGAAGCATCTCCCTTTTCTTCCCACCAGTCTGTAGTTCACAGATGTTAAAGTTACAAATGTACTGTAGGCTAGCTCTTGTTCCTGTTCCTCTTGTTCCTTTTATCACATTGGACGTGCGATTTCTGTCCTAAATTTGTTAATCAGATCATTCTTTTCTCATGATGGCAAATCATCAACTCAAATTTTTAAAACACCATCTGATATCAGTTTATTGAACAACAAATAATTCAACACCAAGATGCCCTTGGGATACACATACGGTTTTACTGATTAGGCTCATTTACCACAAGGGCAAAGTTCTCCAACTCATAAGGGAGACAAAATTATCCATGGTTCTGTAAGTATTTCCCCCCTTTCATTTTCCCCAATGGGGTTTCAGAAAAATTTCCAATAAAGATGGCAATCAACTCAGAAACAATGGTACATTATAAGACTATTGACTTAATGTCTTTAAGTATACATATAATTATTTCACATATCTAAATATTGCAAAATATTATTATACAATTATATGCTCAACTCAATTATGTTATTTGCAATGCTTTATGGTGGGTGGTCACTGCTGAGGTCTTCTCATTTCCACAGAAACAATGACTTCTCTGATTGGTGGATCTCTCTTTTAGTTTATGTGTAGTGTAGTTTTTTTAGTGGAAATTAAACAATTCAAATTTTAAAAAGGTTTGGATCACACTAACTTGCAGAGACTACAGAAGCATACCACTGCTAACAAGCTTGGAAAAATGGCAGATCTGTCTATAAAGATTAATAGGTTATTGCTAACTGAGAAAATGAATGGGATGTTTCACCCAGAACCTTTGTGTTCTATAAAGTTTAATACACTTGTATTAAACCCAGAACATTCTAAACAATTTTAGACAGTTTGGAAAAAAAAATAAAGACCTTGTTATTTCCGTACTTATCAGGTTGAAAGAAGGTAGAGAACAGAAGACTAGGCAAAACAGATTTTGATAAAGCCAGCACCATCCTTTTAGTTTTAAGATTAGAGTCAACATTTGGGGTGCAAATAGTTGAAAATAACCAATTTGCCCAAGCCACAACCCAAAAGGCACCATTTGTTTGAAAACACATGGAAATGGATCATGACTAAGAGTTCTGGTATTGTCAGGGTGTTTTAAAATGGGGACATTATTCATACAGGTCTTTATAAACTGGTCAAACATGTTTAAATAGATCTGTTCTCTTCATCACACCTTTGTAACACCTTTAATACACTTGTATTAAACCCAGAACATTCTAAACAATTTTCAAGACTTAAGACAGGTTGGAAAAAAAAATAAAGACCTTGTTATTTCCGTACTTATCAGGTTGAAAGAAGGTAGAGAACAGAAGACTAGGCAAAACAGATTTTGATAAAGCCAGCACCATCCTTTTAGTTTTAAGATTAGAGTCAACATTTGGGGTGCAAATAGTTGAAAATAACCAATTTGCCCAAGCCACAACCCAAAAGGCACCATTTGTTTGAAAACACATGGAAATGGATCATGACTAAGAGTTCTGGTATTGTCAGGGTGTTTTAAAATGGGGACATTATTCATACAGGTCTTTATAAACTGGTCAAACATGTTTAAATAGATCTGTTCTCTTCATCACACCTTTGTAACACCTTTAATCTAATCAACGAACTTATCCCAATAAGCACATCAGTTCTAATCTCATATGTAGTTTGTAGTATCTAATTAGCGTATTCATCTGACCAATTCTCAATACATCATGCAACCGTATTTGACATAATTCAGAGGACTGATGTGACTGAATACTTCAAGTATATTCACGCAGCATAAGCATGAAATATGTACTGATCACTCCATAACACCAGTTTAAAAGGCTCTGAATAACCTAAACCAGTGTTCCTCAAATCTTGCCCTGGAGGGCTAATGCCCTGCAGAGTTTAGCTCCAGCCCTGATCAAACTCACCTACCTGATTTTCTAATGATCCTGAAGACATTGATTAGCTTGCTCAGGTGTGTTTGATTTGGGTTACAGCTAAACTCTGCAGGCAAGTGGATCTCGTGGGCCAGATTTGAGGATCCCTGACCTAAACCATACTTAGCTAAATCATTAGATTGAATGTCAATCCATCAAACAAGCCAACAAGAGACTTTCTTTATGGGAAATGATACGCCATGTTCAGTCGATTTACTATAATTCATAACATAGCCTTAAAACTAAAGAATGATCTAACTGGAAATGAAACCAAGCAAAGGCGAACAAAACACAAGAGTGCTGGATGGCTAGTTCTGATCCAAGCAGGCTGAACACTCTGCAAGAGTAGCAAGTGAAATACACAGGTCCTGCTGGAAAGTGGGTGAAAAAGTTCCCGCAGAGCTGAATACAACATCCTGGACCGAGCTGACTCTCAGCTGTCCTGTTGTGTCCATCACACCCCAAAGACCTCATGGTTAGCAGCTAGCTTGTTGAAATATCGCTCTCCAAAGTGCCCTTCCTTACCTCCCCCGCCTCATCCACTGCCTCCACCAGCATCTCTCCACACTAAACTCTGCAAACTAACAACCAGTCCAGGACCAAACTGGCTCCACGCTAGCCCAAGCTACTAGTTTACTTTGTTAGCATGCAACCCTACCGACGTAGTTCTAACTAGTATGAGAGCGAGTAAGTCAGTTGTTAAGACTATTCGCTAGTTCAGTCCACACGAGCATCGGGACGCGTCGTATATGTGCAACTATACACAAATATAATCGATTAACTGCGTCTAAACGGACATGAACGGTAAAATCGCCGACATTCACCTCGTAGAGTTCCTCCGTAGCCATCATGTCACGATAATCTTCGACGTTGTGGCAATCCGTGAGGATTGTAGACACTTTTTTCCTCCAGTTGCAGTTGTCTTTTTGGCCTCTCCTCCTTTTTCAGTTGGTCGGGTGAGATGTGCTTGACCCGCACCGAGGATCTCTTTGCTGTCTAGTTCTCGCACTCAACGTCTATCCAACATTATAGTTAGAATAAAGCGTTTCATTCCAGATTAAGTCCAAACGAGTACTTTTGTCGGTCCAGGCGGCGATTTTAGAGAGTGTTACCGTAAACTAGTCTGTAGGCAGTGCTGATTACACGCTCGCCTGCTCTCAGTTCTGCCACACAGGAAGTCTCAATCGAACGCAGATTAGAGTCGAGATGAGTTAGTTTGCACTGCCTGCAAACCTCGTGATAGAGCTGTGGACGACGGTCATCTGTGTTTTGCAAATCTTTATCGGTGTTGATTTTGAGTGTTGGTCTAATGGAACATAACTGACGTAAATCCGCAATAGTTCAAACAATAATTAATAGTGTTAAGCGCCAGGTGAGTGTAGTCCATTACTGTCTAAAACATTTCCATGAATGCCGTGCACGCACATGAAGGTTTTTTTTTTTTTTTTTTACTTCTACAGATGTAAATGTCTTATTTTATTACTTATTTTAATCTTTTTATTACATATTTAATAGTAGAGATTAATCAAATGTAATTATTGAGCAATATGGACAGCCCAAATCAATATGTTAATTATTTTTGAATTTATATATAGTCAAGTTGGACTTTAAAAGATGCCAAAGATCCGATCTGAACATTAGGTAAGGGATAATGACAAAAACAGACAGGATAATTGGCCTCACTATTCCTTGGCTACTATCAATAAATCAGTGAAATAATTGAAATTAGTTGAAAGTGTGATTGTTGTTTCCAAGAGCAGACTTATACAGCGGTATACAGAGGTATTTAGCCACTAAATGTCATCTTTGACAATCAGAATAAAATATTATAGAGAGCCATGTACTGTAAATTCAATGTTTCCTTTCCATTTTACACATGTACTGTAAATTCTCCAACAACTTTGTGAAGTAGGCTACTGGAACTGCCTAATCAGATAAGTAAAATGTTCCAAGTTCTTTCAGGAGACCTCAGAAAATAAAGGACTGCAAAATTGAAACAATCATGAGGTATGTTCAATAATCAGAAAACAAACTCAGAAAAGTTTGGGGAACACCATAAAGATAAAAACAGTTGTATTCAGATAAATATCCTCTTGGTAAAGTAGCATAAAAGGCATTAAGTAATGTTAAAATGGAAATATGAAATTCTAATGCATTTTCCAGATTTTGGTTGTTTTTATATTAACCAAATGATCAAATTTATGTCTCAAGTACATACATATTCACAAACCTGTTATTCTTGCATCTTTCCTTGCGGACATGGGAGTTAAATGGTATTTTTAAATGGAGTGGTGTTGTCAACTGAAAGGAGAGTAGTTCAGCAGATGCCAAAAGAGAACAAGGAAGTAGGTGAAAGAGCAGAGTAGAAATGTTACAATACACTTTTCAATGGTCCCCTTCAATATGATTTGATCGTTACTAATGTTTGGTGGTATTACAGTGGTTAAGATGAACCTACAGTACATGCCTTTTATGGGGAGCATTATTCCAGTCTTGGGTCCTCCTGTTTGCCAAATTTGGGCCACAAGCAAGTCACAGGAAGGCCCAATGTAAGCCATGAATAAACCAAATAAACCAGAGCTGGCCCAAACCTGGGCCACATTGATTTTAATTCTGGCCCAGCTCCGGCTCAGATCCAACAGCTTGCACATGCTGCATGGAATGGTGGCATTTTGGCAGTGGTTCAAAAGCAGGCCACTACACAGCCACATTTGAGCTAATAATTAACTAAATAAACCATAAATATACATTATCTGGGCCACACTAAGCCTTAAATGAGTTATGCATCAACAATACTCAACATTGTAAAGAGAAATTTAAAAATGTCCTCCATAAATGTTCAAATAAGTTCCAGAAATGTGTCCTACTTAATAAAATGATCCAGACCCAAGTTTTGCACAAGCAGCAATTAAAATGTCACAGATAAATATTCAAAGACACATTCCAATACTTTAAAAACTGTTCTTCACAAGTTTGAACTTAAATGCTTCTCACTCAGACTCTACATACACAGTGAGTCTGTGAGTGCCATAGCTACGCTATGTTAAAGTGTGCACGACAAAGATGAAAGGTTATATAGCATAAGTCGTAAATCCAAACACAATGTAGCACAGCAACATTTAAGACATGTAGATGTAACATACATGAACTTAAGTACTCAGACCAAACAAGGATAATTAACTAGGCACACCTGAACAGAATAATACAAACAATACAACAAGGGAAATAGTGCAAAAGGAAAACAAAGTCCAAATTAACAGAAACTGTGACAGTAAGAGTACAATCATAGTGCACTTCTGTTTTTATGCTGCACAGTACACATATAAAAAAAACTGCCATTAAAAGCAGGCTTCAAAAAAAAAAAATTTCATGCTTG